CTCTATATAGCGCATTAAAAAAACAACCCATTTTCAAACATCCATATCGATGCAGGCAGTTTGAAAAGAAATCTTTAATTATTTCTCAACTCGTTGGCCTGACGTTCTATGTTCCATTTCCCTAAATTCGAGTAGCATACAACAGGCAAGTTTGATGGGAAAAGAGGCAGAGGCAGACAGAGGGAAAAGATACTGGACACGTTGACAACATGTCTCGGAGCAGCAAGAACGACAGACACCATTGCTGCAACGCAAGACAGATGGAAGAGGAGGTCCATGATCGCCCACGACATGATGATACAAGGTCGGCTTAACTGCTTGACAAGGATGGCATGAATTGTGTTTACTGGTTGAAAGGGTACGACCCCATAACAGTCTTTGCTTCAGCTGTCAATGTGTGGCTTTCGTCTTAACTTTGGCCCCCTTGTCCGTGTTTGAGCTGTAGCGAATATAACGTACAGACTGCAACATACGTTAAGGACCTTCGTTTTTTGGTGTATGTTACTCTCTTGCAACACAGCTAATCTTCGGCATTTGTATTACCCAATTTGTTCCCTTACTGTAACTAAAACTAAAGAATACAACTCGTGTCCAAACATGCAACCAAAAAAAAGTGCTCTTTACTTTGAAATCAACATCTCATCTGAAATCAACTGTTACTTTTCCAACATTTTCTGCCATCTGTGTAAGTGTGCCAACCTCTGTTGGAATTTTTAAAAAGAAGTTCAATGTGAGGCATCGTGATGAAATCAGGCGCTCGTCAGAATAATAAAATCAAAGAAACAGACACTTTTCCACCGGTTTGGGATTTTTTTTTTTCAAATAACAAAATGGTTCAACACCTTTTAGGTCAATTTAAAAACATATGAATTTTACTTTAGAACATTGATTTAAGATACGAAAAGTGTATATTTTCAATTTTGAAAGACTCCTTAGCTATGGCAGTCGACATACTTCGGCGGCCATTTTCTTGCTAATTTTACCCCTGAAACCAGGCGACCCAACCACCTTCAATCCCAAATATCTCGACTTTTATTCAAGATAGATATGTGTTTTTTCCATCAAAAGCAAGACAAGTGAAGAGGCTATACGAAAATTCAAAGAACTCCATATGCCCAAAACTTGACGAACGCCTGATTCGTGATACAAATAATAGATCAATCAAACCTGAATGTATTCCCCTTTGCCGCATGTGAAGGTAAAAGCCTGGTCATAGTCTGTGTCGTAGGCTGCTCCAGACAGATGCTGGGTCCAGATGACGGAGAGAAGCAGAAACACCAACCTCATCTTTTCTTACTATGGTCTCGTACTGACAGGTTAGATGAATGCCTTTAGCAGAAAATTTCCCCCTCGTTTTATTTACCGGAGTGGTTATCTCCAGCCCACTGGGGATAGCTGCCTGCTATCTCTCTTCGCAACATTATCGTGCTCGACCAATGAAAGTATATTCATGACCTCTCACGCCTCATGACATGTGATTGGGCGAGACCTCCATCTTTGTCTTTGGCTGTGATCATTTTAAACATGGAAGAGCTGTGTTTTTTTAGCTTTAGTAGAGGTTTTACGGCACTCGCAACTGCATTAGGTCATATGGGCGCCAGAAGATTAGAGGTGCTAAAAGAGAGTAACAAACATAAAAAAGAAGAAGGGGAGATAAGGACGATAGATGTTAGATAGGAAAGAAGAAGCAAACCACAACAGAGCACCCGCCAACCACCCTCAGAGCTGTGGAGTTGTAGGGCCCTTGAGCTTCGTTTGTATGTGTTTCAAACAATTTAAATATAAGCTCTTTGTTTTAGGTCATATTTTTATTCAATATCTTCTGGGATTGATAACTCTAACGTGTCTGTCTCCTTTCTCTCACAAATAAAGAAAAATGTTCCAGTTTCTGTTACTGTTAGGTTTTGATTCCTCTTCTCCATAAACTATGTTATATTTATGAAGTTTGAGTTTTAATTAGAGTTTTACGGAATTTGCAACATAAATATGTTGCATACGTGTAGAAGATTAGAGATGCTGCTAGAGAGTTTAAAAAATGAAAATAGATAAGAACGATTGATGTTTGATAGGAAAAAAAGAGCAGACCACACCAGTGCATCTGCCAACCACCCATTAATTGTTTGTAATAGAGAAGGTCGCTATGGCAGTGATTTTTAAAAAAGTGATAAGGCCCTCAAATATCTCTGTAATTTTTCTTCCCCATGCGAGTTTGTTGTATGTTTGAGAGCTTCTCCCCTCAAGACAGAATCTGACATTGTTCCTTCCAAAATGATCACTGCTTTTTTAAAAGGGTATTTTCTGCCTTTTTAAAATTTTGGATCTGGTTGGGAATGATATTGATATGAGTCAGTGCATCATCAACAAACTTTATTTTTCTCCAAGCACATTCTAGTACTATGGATTTTTTCGTCTATGCAGATGATCAATTTAGCTTGAGATAGCCTCAAGGTTGTCTTCATGCAGCTTATTTCATGGCTAATTCTTCGTATGTTTGAAGCGCAGGTTCTGTCGCAGTGCTTGCATGTCAGTCTCAAGACATACTACACGGATAAAAAAGTAAAGTTGTCCCGCATCCGATCCGGACATTGGGGACTGCCTTGTTAGTGAGACAACTTCCTGGCCCTTCGGCATATTGTGGTAGGGTGGTCAGTTCGTTTTCACGCCGTCTTTACTTCCACAACTCGAAGTCAGGTACGCCATTACTGCGAGGTGGGCAGGAGGGGGCAAAGAAAATCCGAGTTCGAACCGAGGCTCGAACCCAGAAACACGACATGTTAAAACCCTCAACTAAGACAACATGGTTTGGGAATAGCGAGTGCTCTGTAGTCTGTGTTATTCCCAGATAACTGTTACTGCATGTGAGCTAATCACAATGTTTGGGGGAGGGAATTAAGACGGAAAGATAACATTCTAAGCTACGTGTTACTATCTGGGACTTCGCTCTCTCTGCAGCTGCCACTTTCCCGACTGTTCAGTCCAATTCACCAAATTCCTTTGTAAAAAATATTCACGAATAAGAGATGTTATAAAAGACTGAGACTTGTTTTTATAAATGGAATTTAAGAAAGTCGTTTGTTTCCTGTGGACTTAGCTCCTAGATAACAACTCGCTTCGTGACATGTTAGTCCTTTAGGGATGTACAGGGTGATCCCAAAAAAACTTAACAACTTGTTTTTTATATATCTTCCTACACACTGAAGTTTTGTGTTTCAGATTTGGACACAACATTTGGAAGCCAAAAGGAATTTTTCGGATAAGTATTTTAGATAAGTCCATTGAATGGTTTTGCTCTATATAGCGCATTAAAAAAACAACCCATTTTCAACCTTGTCGCCATTTTCATAGCATGACGCACCAGTTCGCCATAGGCCTACAACTAAAAGTTGCAACAATCGCGCCATATTGCAAGCTACAGCAGTCTAACAAGTCAGCGGAAGTCTGCAGATATTATTTTTCCCAAATTTTGTTCGCCTGCTTAGATCATGGCTACACACTCTATTGTCTCTAGAAGCCACTTCTTTGTGAACACGTACAGTGAATGTGGCTTTAAACACTCATGGTTTAGCAGGTCCTTGTGTTAGGGCGCCATTGAACATTTCGAACGACGCGTTAAAAATGTGTCGAGTCCAAAGAAGGGAATGTGGAGCACTGCTTCTAGGAATTTCAGGATGAACTCATGAGGTTTTTTAAACTCTGTAAAAGAAATTAAATATTGTTTAAATGTCGCAGGGATTGAAAATTAATGCCAAAGAGAAAATACAGAAAAAGGTCAACTAATCTTTTCACAACTTCCTTTACAAGATTTTTAAACATGGGTGAACTTTGCTTTTTTGGGTGCTTTTTTCTTTTAGCCGTTTCCGTTTTCAAAACATGTTTCTTCTTTGTGGATTTTATATCAAACAAATTCCTTTTGAATGAATTACGTCTGTGCCAAATTACAGCATTCTAGAACAATTTTTGTGCGAGATATTCAGAAAAAAAGTTGTAAATCTTTTTTTTTTGATCATCCTGTATTTGAAAGTTGAAGATCTTTGTCTAGTGTTTTGTCTCGTGTTTCCCCTCCACCCCCCACCCCACCCCCCGGCCCCACCAAATAATGTTTCCCCAAGCCTTCTCTGGCTGGTGTTTTTTATTGCAAGAATAAAGAAAATTACGAACTCTTTCACACTGAAATGTCACAATACTTTGGTATACTTTGGTCTCAGTCCCCCATGTTGAATAACATGTTGTGGTATTACCTCTTCAATATTTTACTTTCTCTGTTATTCCTTTCTCTGCATTTTCATCTCCTGTGCAAGCACACCGCCTTGAAATGACGATTGTTTCCAATGGAACATAAAAGTCCTCAAGAATATTTAAAACAGAATATTGTACATGTCTTATATGCCAGTGTATATCTTCTGAACTCCAGTTCAAGGAACATCGACCATGTGATATCCTTGTGTTTTTATTCCAGTTTGCTTTCACCTAAGTAAATGAGATCCCAATAGAATCTTTGATTTTATAAAGGCCATTGGCCTTTACCGAAAATTATGAAGAACGTAACATTTTTAAAATGTTGTTTATAAAGCTATTTTAAATTTAAAATTTATTTACTTCAATTTTTAAAAAGTATTTTAACAGTTTAAAAGAAATATTGACCAAAATCAGGCTGCACAGTGAACTGTTGCAAATAGAAGAAACTATTTTTCTCGCGTTTATATTACCTTATGAAGGAGCGGCACCTCCGAGTTTTACGTCCTTCTCCGAAAAGACTGAGCCAAGAGGAACATTCGTGTAAAGTGTCTTTCCCAAGGACCCAACGTCGGACCGAGCTGAAGCTCGAACCCCGGAACCCGCAATCTCGCGATTACGAATCTGGCACTAACCACTAGGTCACCGTCGTTGTTGTTGTTGTTGTTGTTGTTGTTGTTGTTGTTTTTGTTGTTGTTGTTGTTGTTGTTGTTGTTGTTGTTGTTGTTGTTGTTGTTGTTGTTATCGATCCAGCGACAGCTGGACTCTTGCCCTTCTGTCCAATGCCATGTAGTGATAAGTGCAGGTTTGCTGCAGTTGCTGTAAAGTTCCATAGAGTGTGTTGTCAATGTTAGGTCTCGGAGGGAGAAGGGTAGCTCTCCTAGGTCACAGACGCCACTTGAGTATTCGGGGTAGACGATCAGAGTAGTTGATCTTGATGAACACCAAACCACTTTTTTTTCTCGGCAGTTAATATTCTTCCGCGGATATAATATATTGGCCACCGTCAGAATTGATGGACGGGCTATTCCATTATTTTTTGGACATTTGGTACAGTTTTTTGGGGGTAACTGTTTTACGGCGCTCGCAGCTGCATTTGGTTATATGAGCGCCCAGGACACATTAAACCTAGAGGTTAAGGTATTCGCTTCTTATTTTAAAGTCCCAGGTTCGAATCCGGGTAGCGACCAAAAGATTTTCTTCTCTAAAATGGTCTCCGTTCACCTCATTTCATGCTCTCTAGCAATGCTCTGCTGTCCGCTTTGGTTTCCACTTTCTGCCCCACTCCATCACTTCATTTGCCTCCTCCTGACTCTTTCTGCAGCCTTTCTACTGCTCCTTGGCTCCTTACTGCTGTCTTTCAGCCCCACCCCTGATCTTCTGGTAGAAAATATCTTCACCTAGCCTTCTCGAACAATGGAGAAAAATCTCGGACGTCCTGTGTGCAAGTTGCGAGCGTTAAAGATCCCTTGGTGGTCTAAAATCGATAAGAGCAGGCTTCGGCCGCCACCTGGGCAAAATTCAAAATTTCCTACCAAATGAAAATGTGTAATGTGTCTCGTGCGCCGTAAAACACTTACATAAAAGATAAATAGATAGATAGATAGATAGATAGATAGATAGATAGATAAATAGATAGATAGATATATAGATAGATAGATAGATCAAATAGAAACAATCTAAACATCCTGGGAAGATTACAGCGCATGCATCAATTTATTGATCACATTTTGTCACAGGGACTAATATTATGTGTTCGAACAAAATAATAATATATGTTCCAGCGATCTCTTGACCAGTGAAGAGAAAACTGCAGCGTGGGGTGGTGTGGTGGTGTTGGGCGGGGTGTTCAGCCAACAGTGGGTTCATCGGCCAGCGCTCCTAACTTGCAAATGTCGAACTTGAAAATTCTGTCTCTGTGGAACGAGAAGATGAGGAATAGGGGAGTGCCTTAGGCTTTAGTTGAGCTTTTACGGCTTTGCAACTGCTTAAGGTCATATGAGCGCCAAAGGGTAGATGTCAACAGAGAAGTCCTTACAGGGAATCAGACTTACTCTGGTCACCTCTTTAGCTTCAACAGCACAAAGTATGCTTCAACTATCAAGGCACCCCGGAAATAGCAGGTCACAAGAGAGTGACAAACATACAAAAGAAGGAGAAGAAAAATGACGATAGTCAGGATTAGGAAAGAAAAAGCAGCAGTTCTCTGTTGCAGTTCAAGCACAGTTATGAGCATGACATTGATGAATCAGCCCATTTACAATTACAGCCAAACCTTCCCTGACAGCCACCTCTATAAGACGGCCACCTGTACAAACGGCATCTTTCCATTCCCCCCTTGCTTTTTTTTCTATATAATTTAACTGTGTAAAACAGGCACCTGTCCAACGCGGCTGCGGCCACCATATTTTAACACACAACCCCTATCACACTAAGCAATAACACCTGTCTTAGACGGCCACATTAGTGACTCCATTACATTTTGTTATAAAATATTGTGGACTGGCCCCTGGCGTTGCGGGCGAGCCGTCATAATCCAATCCCTTGTCGTTGTTGTCAGATAGTCCCTCCAACCGATCATGTTGCGTAGGCCCCTCCCACTGTTGACCAATAGGTACCAATTTTCAACTGCTGGTGAGGTAAGCATGTGATCCCTCATAACCCATAAGCCCCGCCCAGAACTCATACTCAAATCGTACGTGAGAAGAGTGGTCACTGTT